GGGATGAAGGGCTTCGGCAAAGGAGGGGAGGCAGGCAGGTGGGGGGCTTTGTGGGCACAGACTCACTCTCTTTTGGCTGGGGGCGTTGGGAGGATGTCCCATAGCGGGCCGGCCAGACTGGCCTCTGGGCACTATTTTATCTCCCTTCTCTGTCCCTGTCACCAGCACACAGCTGTTCAGAAGGAAAAGTAGCCCTTCCCATTCTTTTGGCTCTTTGGAGCAAATCCTGCATTATCTGGCTTTCAGTGCTCTTTTACTAAAGATAGTCTGCCCTCTTGTCTAACTCTAAGTCCTTCTTCCTGTGGGTCTTGCTCATTGTCACATGGCATAGCAGGCACGAGGGTTGGATGGCAACCTGATCGAATGGCCAGGCCTTCCCCGGCCACTCTGTCTCCTGGGCAGTCCCAGTCATATGGGGATGGGATGGTGCAATTAAGCCCCAGGGCTGTCATCTCTGCAGTGACAACTATAGGAATGTCAGCATGCCTGTGCCAGGCAGGCCCACACCTCTCTCCTGGGGTGCCCACCATTCCTGTTCTTTAGAAGAAAGGAACCACGGTGTTGGGGGGCACTGATCATTTGTCTTATGCTCACTAGGTGGCTGTGTCAGTGATGTTTTGAGGATGTTCCTGCCCCCAGGCTGTCATGCATCCAGTCTTTGTACCCAGTGACATGAGCTATGGGCTCTGAGCAGCTCACTGGAGAGGCAGTGCCCTGGAGGGAAGCAACCTGTGTCCGCTACCCTGTACAACAGCTGTGTTAATAGTAATAAGAACAAAGAGCCATTTTTTTTTCTTTTTTTTGAGACAGAGTCTCAACTTGCCCCAGCAGAGTGCCGTGGGGTCACGCACTCACAGCAACTCAAACTCCTGGGCTCAAGGGATCCTCCTGCCTCACCTCAACACTACAGGCATGCGCCCACCAGCAATTTTTCTTATGAATTAGTTGGCCAATTATTTATTTTATTTATAGTATGAGACGTCCGTCTTGCTCGAGGCTGGTTTTGACTCTGACCTGAGGATCCGCCTGCCTCGCCTCTCAGAGTGCTAGAGACAGGTGGAGTATGCTGTTGTGTTGTTTAATTTATGCTTATGTGGATGGATCTTCTGTTCTGATGGCAGTCGACGTGTGTGTTTATTGGCTGTTGTAATAACGGGCACTTGTGCTTAAAGTTATGGTTATTTATTTTTATCTTCAGTTCGGTGTGCAGTGTGTAATGTCCTAAGTTTGTTCACTGTGTGCTCTGATATTCCTTGTGGAAGGACGCAGTTCTTTTCTGGAGGCCTCGTGGTGATCCTTCGCTTGCCTTTTCCGCTCTAGGAGGCCACTTGGTCAAATTTGGCTTTGGCTCGCCGTCTCTTCACGGCGCACACAACGGCCCGTCTCTGCTGATACTTCTTAGCACTTCTCTCATCTCATCTCGTACCAGATGAAGGGCCAGACAGTGACCACTAGTGTATTTCATTCAATCCAAACACTGTGTAATCCCTTCTCCATCCAGGTGATGCTGGTGCAAGATAATCCGGCTCGCTGCCTCCTTAAGCGCATTCAGATAAGTGAATGTAGTTTGGGACCCACCTAGGTGATCCAGGGTAATCTGATACCTCTCAGCACCAGACTTATAATGCATGCTGCAGAGGTCCTTATTTGCCATTGCATAACGCTGGAGCCTCACACTACAGGTCCTCAAGAAAGTGATTAGAGGCATGGGTAGAAATTGATAGGATCATATTCGTCTACCACAGCTACTTGACTTCATACAA